CCCGAGGGAATCCGAAAAGTCAGGCAAATAAAACTCTTGTTCCAGTGATCGCGTCTTCTTCTTCTTTTGAGTAAGCTTACTGCTCTACCTTTTATTGATTATATACTGAATTTAACACCTCTCCGTTTATCTGAAATACAACAGCGAGACCATCTGCAGAGTAAGCTAGCAGTGTTTTGAGGAAAGTAAACGTAAATTTTGCGGATTGGTCACCAACGGTTGGTAAGGTTGTTGATAATTGTAATTTTCGGTCAGAACGTATCGTTTGTGACATTTTTCCCTTTAGTATATCACCTTTTTTATTTACACTGAATAAAGGACTTTTAACTAAAACATTTGGAATGTTACTTTTAAAATGAATTCTCTTTGAAAAAGGAACGCCTAAATTACTTCATTCGAGCGTAAATAATGAAAGGAGTGTAGACTAGCTCGAGAAGGTTTTCTGAACCAATTACGACCAGAGCAGTCGCAGTACGCACCTGCAATAACTGGTTGACATCCTCACAGGTCTGCATAATTTTGTCCATTTCCCCGTAGAATATGGAGGCCGCGACCAGCAGATGGAAATTCTTGGGAACGACGTCGCTCCAGAGAGCCTAAATTCAGGTGACGGGGAAAGTGAGTGCTCGTAGGGAGAAAGGGAGGAAGGTATTTTGCCAAGGAAAGTAAACAGAATCAGAATCCTTGCTGGTTTCGGGAAGAGTCAGGAGAAAAAGATAGGATAAACTCTTTCCCTTGGACGAACCATCGATATAACACTTGTTTAAACTTCCTAATGCACTGCTTGTGTCGCAATAACGTTCAGTGATCCAGTGAGACTCGGGACTGATCTCGATCTGGAAGGCCATAAGGCAGCATAGGGTGAGTTGGAATAGGTTAAAACATAATCAGATGTCCAAGTTATTCGTGCAAAAGAAGAAAATAGCTTGATCTAAGGATCAAAGGTTTTGAACGACAACGCTGATGTGTACACGGGCGTGCTTTCCGCAAATTCGGCTTTATTCAAAGACGCAAAAGAGGGGCGATAGAGGATCACTCAAATGTAAAGTCAGTGTAGCACATGGCCTGGTAATTAATTCTTATTGTTGACTGCAGGGCTTGACAATACATATGCAAGCTTTTCAAAATGAAATTGGGTAGGGAGGCGAGTTTTCTTGTGAGCTTCAATGTAAAAGGCGGAAAGGCTGTCCAAGATGGATCGACCCAATAGGAAAAGTGGTATATCTATCATAGCATCCTACGCCAACGGGTCTGAACTAACCAGCAGACTACCGGATAGCGAAGAAATTAAACGTCAAGAACAAAGAAGAAACTCAGACTATATGTTTAAGGAATCCAACTCGGAAAGTGGTGGCTAGAAATGTCTGTAATTTGTGCGGTAAGAAGCCAAGTTGCTCCTCCATCACTAAAAATAATACACTAATTGGGATATCAAGGCTTGGGAGAGAGAGGTTGTTCAATCCTATTGGTTATCAGCAAAAAGCTTCCAGTCCCTGTAGAGGGAATGCTTGGACGGCCCAGAACACGAGTCACCACTCTTGCCGTCCTGGCCTCACAAAAAACTCGACATGC